TGACATTTTGATTATAAGTTAGTAATTCCTAAGTATGTTTATTTTCTTTTTGTGGGACTGATTGACTAGAAACAATAGAACTATAAGATGAGAGGATTTTTCTTTTTGTATATATATTTCAAAAGCTACATAATTAAGAAAACCTACCACATTTTTCAAGTCTGTATCCCAAAAAGAACTGTTCATCTATAATATATCTATGCTCAGAAAAATTCTGCTTAGATGAAATCCGGAATATACCAGAAAAACAATGGGCTGAGGCAAGGAGAAAAATCTTTTCCTTTCATCTTTTGGTTTTGCAACTGTGAGTTATGAGAGTACCAGTAGGTGGACTTGTCATCTCTACTTTGCATCTCCCGTGCAACCAGTAAGAAAAATGAAAAATTCCTAGCTTAGCTTTCACTCTAAAAGTGCCTCGTATATCATATGCTACCCTATTTCTCTGCACCTGCTTTTGAAGTTCCAGAACAGTATTTGGTGGCAGATGAATCAAGCTAGATATCAAGTGGACCGACATCAATCGTGATTCTCCAGGATTTTGACTGAACGGTTGAAGAGCTTGAACTGCTATTAGAGTCTCTGAAAAGAAAAGCTTGATATCCAGGTACTCGTATTTAACATTCAATTTCCTATTTGGGTTTGAAAAATTTGCAAGAAATATTACATCTCCGTTTAGAAAATCGGGAGAATTAAAGTATATGACATTCAGGGTTGCTGCGGGGGTGTCAAACACTGGAGTCCTTGGTTTAACATCAAGAAAGATTACTAAAGTCGCTATTCCAAAGAAGATTAGGAAGAGGCTGAATATCATACATAAGATTGCACCAAACCATATAAGTGGATTTGTCCTCCGAGGTTCTCCGAGTGTTGGTTGCTTGCTGTTGTGCTGCACTGCTGGTGCCTCAGCCTCCTGGTTGCAGGCTTGTTTCGATGAGACAATCTTTTGGGGAGGAGATTGTTTGTGTTTCTTTTGGTGAGTTGGCGTGAATGGCGGGGGCGGTGGAAGAGGCGTTTTTGGAATATCAGAAGAAGACATCCTCGATACGAAGTTATGAAGACGGAAATGCACATTATTTCAGGCACTTATATAAACTTTGAAGTGGAGAATGAAAAAGTAAAGAGAAAAAGAAGCTTTTAATTA